CGGTCTAAGTCAACCAAACAGCTTCTTAACTGCTCGAAAAGCAGGAGTACTTGCCAAATAAACGTCCTCCGTGTTTTTTTTTTCGTTGCAGTTCTAAGTCCCGCTCCATTTTTAAACCCACATAGCATGACATGACGAAAATGCGACTTTCTTGGATTGCAACCTCGCGTGCAAATTAATTTAAACAAACTTTTTCCTTGGGGTTGAGATGACTTGCGACGCACTTGCATTACAGTCCGTTAATCATATGGTTGTAAAAAGAACACCAGAATGGTTGAAAGTTCATGCTTCTGACATCTGTGAAAATCAGGCACGAACTGAGCATTCAAAAAACGTATTTCCTAGTATTTCAAGTGAATCTGGGGGGAGTGAATGGCCTCCATCGCCACGCCTACCTTCAGCGAATTCGTACACCGCCAAGCACCCCCACCGTCCGCCCAGAGCTACGCGCCTTGCCTCCCTGTGAACCCCGACTGTGCAGAACCCGGGGAAAAGGCGATCCTGCCGCAGATGCACTCCTTCTTCAGCAACGAATCCGCCGTCTAAATGGGCTAATCGCCCAGCAAGTGTTGCAGAGATGGATGGTTTTAGCAGGGTCAAGCGGGGTTGATCGCCGTGTCCGATTTGCAGTACACCAAAGTCACTAAAAACAACCCAAATCGCTCGGAGTGAGTAGAATATGGAACACAAAGTTCTAATGCCGAAACCCTGCGTCTACACTCTGGGTGACACGCGCCAACAGAACGCCAGTTAGGTCACATGTGTCGCTAAACATGACCGACCTAAAATTTGACCGTACATAACAATAAGAACTCCTCACAAAAAGTTTAGTATTAAAATGGAAGACAAAAAACCGGCTTAGCACCCGCAATTTTGTGAAGTTTGGTTTTGTTGCTTCGGTAAGTTAGGTGCACTCGTCCGTTTCATCAATTTGTTATGATAGCAATAAATGGATGTGCGCAATGCATAATAAAGGACAGCCACGTGCATTGCGAGGGATCCACAAGTTAGGAGTAGCACTTCAAAGGTGTGACGTGCGCACGTCGTGAGACCGCTACCAATAACAGAAACTATAGGATTACGAGTTTCTACGCGTCACAAAGTTCCACTGCACACACAACACTAATGCATCCGAGAAATTTTGGTTTTCTTAATGACAATATAAACTGGGTTTCTTGGCTTCATACCGCAAAAGTCAGAGTTGGGGATTAATCCAAAAGGTAGAATCGTCGACGAAAAGCCAGGAGGTACTAAACCTAGCACTTTTAGGGTAAAATCAGTAGTTATCTCTCTCCCTTTGTGCAAATAGTACTTAAAATCAAATCCCAGAAGGACCCTAGAAATCGATAACCTACATTTGATGGAGTCTATGGTTGTTCCTAGTATTTTGAAGCAAGCAAAAACGGCTAAATATACCCAAAGTGCTGAGTATTTACTCAATTTCTGCTTAGGACATAAACAGGGAGAAGACCATGGGGTTGAATGATTAAAACCTTTCGTACGTGATAAACTAAGCCCTGGCTGTAATAATAGCAACAAAAACTGAGCATCTGCTAAACCACAAATCCATTTATGGCATACTACTATATTGAAGGCGATGTATGAAGCCATATTCAAGGATATGCAGATGCAAAACACCAATACCAGAAAATTATATTTAAATGCACCAAATGTTAAGGAAATAATTGACTTAACCATCAAGTAATAAATACCGTTGAAAAAAAAATCAAACTCAACTCTGACGCAAGAGCATTTATCCAACTAAAGGCTTTCTGCTTATTCCGAGGCAATCTTGCACCTGACAGCAACCTTATTGACAAAATATCAACGAAGTGCAATCTTAGCATCTGTCGTCTTGTGGTAGGTACACGAGGCATTTCACATCGGGAGGCCTCTAATTAACTTTTCACTGTGGCAACACCAAGAAATTCCTTCATAAGATCGACCGTTTTTAAACCGCTACCGCTGCAAATGAAGACAAAGAATAGGAGCTTCGGCAGAAATTATTTCTAAGGCCGTACACATTTTTATGCTCCAAACACGTGCGGCTCTCTAGGACAGGCCACGGTGACTAACGCGCCTGGTGTATCCAGTCGCTGAACTTTTGGAAATATTAAACTGGAAGAGCAAACTCTAGGCACAATTCGTGAAGGCTGTCATGACAGAACACGACCCCGTAGCATTTACTTCCTGCAACTTTAGAACATGGCTGACTGCCTTGTGGTGCAAACAGGGACCTGAGATGTTTCCGGTCGCAAATGTAAAAACTACTTCCGCAGATAACGTCGCGATGAATTTGTGGTTAGTGGATGTTCCTCGTACACACACACACCCACACACGCACAAAATGGAAAGGCTTTTGTGTGTTTTTGATTAATGAAACCCACAATTTACATGACGTGTCGTTTAAACGTCAGATGAGATTATTTTAAGGCTGTCTTAACGGTCACCTCGATAGAGCACCACAACCGATCACTAGAAATTTCCCCGCGTTTGCAGCCTGAACGATTTACTTAAAATTCCAGTCCACGTACAAGTCAAACGATTGCTTGCATCCGAAAAAAATGACAATTTGAGAACGAAACGTGTGTCTTCGGTGATGTCGATAATTCACTGTAATTACCATGAGGACTTAATATTAATTATTTTTTTCTACAAACGATTACGTTAGTTTAATCAAAATAGATCCCAAAGAGCTGCATTTATCGACAATATTCGCAACATTTCCCTAACTCCAGAACTCCCGTGATGTTGGTACCCTTTACAAAGCAGGGCGCGGTAGAAATTCCTTTTAACACATTTTAGCCAATCATAATGAACCACCACTATGTTGATGCATGAACGTACACCTTGGTTATTCAGCACTTTCCAACAAGACCTGGGTCACCTCAGCCGAACCCCTTTTACACCTCCCCCCCTCCCTTCTAAAAAAATTCGCTGTGCATGTCTGACCCAAAAGTCACAACAGTGCGAATACGTTTAGCAACCCAATAAGCAGTTGCGTCGTCTTAACCGTCTGGAGTGCCTACGTGGCGCAACCGGGCCAACACAATTCGGCGACCCCTGTGAGGTTTCGAAATCCGTTCTTGAATTCTTCCTTCCGACGTGATCACTCGGCTCATCACCAGGGGGTCCAATGAAATAGAGAGCAACACTTCGGGTCAGCCACACCACCAAGGCAGATACAGCAACTGCAACGCTACCG